GAAATTTGGTGAAGCCATTTCAGCGACCAGAGTTTGGGCTTTCATTGACCAGAATTTTGGGTTTTTTGCGACCAGTTTCGCCTTTTATAAGCCCCAACCCAACTTTCAACCCTCTTTTTTTAGAAGTGCGATATCTTGAGCTATAGATCTCCAATTTGGGCAATTCTATAGGGCTAGGTATTGAGATTTTTTTAGGACAACACGTTGGTGAGCTCGGAAGCTGCATTGGGACCTTCGTTTGAGGTAAATTCTTATTTTCACATGCTGTCATGGATACTTTGTGAACCCAATTTGTGGGATATTTTGGGACTTGATTTCTCCCTCATTCTAAGTCCAAATTCGATGATTCCAGTGGATATTTAAGTGTTTTCTTTAGGAGAACATCGTAGTTTTGTCGGAATTCCCTGTGTACCATTTCTAGTTCTTAGAAAAAATTCGGGTTTTGGTGGTATGTTGATATTGTTTTGTTTCCGAGCTGCGAATTGTGTCCCATTTTGGAAAACAAGTTCGGGGAGCTATTAAAAACCTATTTTTGGGGTTAATTCTAGAATTTTCAGCGTGGGTCCTACTTTCACCGTTTTGAACTCAAAATTGGTATGTCTCTGTTTCTTGCGATTTTAGTGTCTAAGCGATCGTTATAACACTGTGACTCTAATTTTGATAGCATAGCAGCATTTTGAGGCCGTTCGAAAAGGGAAAGCTCTGGAGAAGCACTTTTTCTAGTGCGCCCATGATCGCCTACAGGTAGGCTACGACTTTCCTTTCTTAGATTGAGCTCAAGCATGTGAATGCATGTAAATTAGTTGGGATTTGAGTTGGGTAGTTATTGAATCATGCATAGGTGTTTAGAAATCATGTTTTCAGCCTATTTCAGGAATTATCAGGTAACTATGAGCATGCTTTGTGTTATTAATTAACCCTTGCTATGTGGAGTACTTGTATGCTTGATTACTGTTTATTTGAATCATGTTGTCCCTTAGTATAAGTTTGACTAGGGATTGCCTTAGAAATGCATGATTTAGAATTGGTAGAACTTAATTTTTCCCCGACGTCGCCCGACCGGCTTAGATCCTTGTAGACTAGTGTAGCAGAGATGTCCTTACTTCTTCGATGTTACGACTTCAAAGTTACACCGGCGACACTGAGTGCCGCTCCACAATGCGAAGTTGGTTTTTGATTCGGTTCCAAGAATTTACATTGTTTGGCTAAGTGTGGATGGCGTTTCACGGGAATTTGTGATTATGGATCGATACAGACTCTTCAAGCAACTATATTGACACTTTGTCGAGCATCCGGATTCAAGGTCCGGCCTTAATCTCATTGATAATTTTAGAGGAGCATTCGGTTCAAGGTCCGTCCTCGATCACCCGTATACTGATATAGAGCAACTGGTTAGAGGTCCGACCTCCGTTATTTGATAATTGTGATTGGATACTTGGCTACTTCTGGTGAACGTCAGTGCGAGGTCCGGCCTCCATACTATCAGATTCTACTGATTGGGGTTGACGTTCTTGTTCGATGTTCTCCCGTCTTAGGTTCTCATATGTAGTTCTCTTTATTATAATTATTTTGTATACACATTGAGCTTATGGGGGCCCGTTCAGATTTTATTTAAACTTGTGCACGAGTGTACCTTCTAGGCTTATGGGGGCCTATTTAAGTGTAGTTAGCTTATAGATTACTTTGGTTAATTCTTTCTACACTCATGTGCATTCCATTATTATTTATACTTCCGTCTTGACCTCTGTTTCTGTTATTCCTTCTTTTCATATTGCTTTTACTTTTCAAGTTCAGTCGGCCTATGCAACCTACTGGGTACCTGTTGTTTGGTACTTAGAGGCAGGCATAAAAACCGAAAAACCGAACCGAAATTTTTCAGAATTTCGGTTTCGGTATTTCAGTTTTCAGTTCGGTATTCGGTTTAATTTTTTGTATTTTCGGTATTTCGATTCGATTTTCGGTACATATTACTTTGGAATTCGGTATTTCGGTTTATACCGAAATATTATATTATAATTTATAAATTATATTATATTTAATAATTATTAATATTAAATAATTTTTAAAAAAAAATAAGAAACCCTAAGTTGAAATATCAAAGCCCATTAACTTGAAATATCAAAGCCCATTAAGTTGAAAAATCAAACAAAAAATTGAAAAAATTGTTAAGTTTAAAATTTTAAAAAGCCCACTAAACAGGCCCATTAAAAAACCGAAATAAAAAACCGAACCGAATTAATAAAAACCGAACCGAATTAACAAAAACCGAACCGAACCGAAATATTTTGGTTCGGTATTCGGTACGCAATTTACAAAAACCGAAAACCGAAAAAACCGAAAAAAAACCGAACCGAATCGAAATACCAAATGCCCACCCCTATTGGTACTCATGCTACGCTCTGCATCTATTTTCGTGATGCAGGCCCGAGTATCAGTAGCCATCATTGATCGAGTTTGGATCAGTCTGATCCAGAGACGGGGGTGAGCACACTACGTTTTGTATTATTATAATCTCCATCTGTATATATATAGACTTGTTTTTTACCTTTCGAGACAGTACAATTTTTGTGGTCCACTTTTGGGACTTGTACTCGTTTTGTTGGTAGCTTTGTACTAGTGAATTCTAGGTTATGGGAGGGATCTTTATTTGTACATATGTTTTGGTCTGCTTCTGTTTATTTATATTGTTATCTTAAATTTTGCCTACTCTTGTTTAGTTTCTACTCTCATACCCATTACTTGTTGTTTCGGCTTGGCTTACCTACTGGTGGGTTATATTAGGTGCCATCATGACTCGAGAAATCGGATTGTGACACTCCATCACCACTTATGCCCTAATGATATCAACTATATTTTGTATATCCCAATATCTAGTACCGGAAATTCTGATAAAATTATCTGCATTATATAAATTCTGGAAAGTACGAGGTAAGATCTGGTTATCAACTAGCAAAAAGCCTAGCTAATAACACTGACCATGGAACTGAAAAACCTCAAACCAGTGGCCAATCTTTCGGAAAATATTTTTGGACTTTCTTGTGGTCACTTAAAATAAAAAACAGATACAAACAATTCCTCAGAAAATGCATTCTTTGTGCAAATATTTCTAAGAGATTGCATCAACATTGTGATGTTTGTAGGCTTAGAATCTGAAACAGTGGGTCATATGTTTTTTAGTTGCCCAAAAGCACAACTAGTATCAGTATGGAAGTTGGCCCCATTAACTGACCTAATTTAGAAAATATTATGAATTTTTCAATATGATGGAATGGCTTATTTCGTAATACATGTCAATATCCAGAGTCCATTGAACTACAAAGATTAAGTGTCTTTCTTTTATGGCAAATGTGAAAAGCGGGAAGTTCATTATGCTTTAATGGTCGTACATATGAACCTAATGACGTTGTTAATAAACCTTTGTTTGATTTACATGAATCTGACGATGTTGTGAATAATTCAGCAGTTGTGAATCCTATATCAAACAAGATTTATGATGTAACATTACTTTGGCCCGAGATGGGGTTGTTGTTTTCATGATCCATGGCTACAACGGGAGAAGGAAAAAGCAAGCATCAGAATGGCGGCTATAGATAGCTGTGGACATTTGCTTCATGCCTTTGGTACCCCTATTCAATTTGTAGGGAAGGCCATAGCTGTTGAAACACTAGCAATTCTGGAAGCTATGAAAAGAGCACTACAAAAGAGTTGGTCAAAGGCACACATACTATCAAATGCAAAGAATGTCATACAAATTAAATATTGCAAAAGAAGTTGACAACATGTCATTTGCGAGGATGTCTGGCTATTGATGAAATCTTTTGAAGAAATCGAGATTATATATAAATCTAGCGAAAATTAAATTAGTTTGATGAATTATTTTTCTAGTGAATTAACTTTTGTGGCCAATAGGTTACATGGAATATTTTGTATCAATTTCAATAGTTTAAGAGTATTTTGGTCCGAAATGAGATGGTATGTTTTCCTCTGGTCAGCTACACTCTGAAAAGCCTCAAGTCAGCTTATCCTAATCCAATATCACATTTTCACCCATCTGTTTGAGTAGTCATGTAACCTGGCTCGATGGATAGCCACATACAACGGCTCTTTCACACACACTATGAAATTAGTAGCATTCGTGTAGATGGCAACGATGCCTTGGCAACTTATAGTGCTATTCATGCAGCTCGCAATATGGCAATTTAGGAACAAATGCCAATATTAGTAGAGGTAAAAACTCATCTCAGAGTTCAGTTTACAATACAATGTTGCAAAAACTGGACTGAATGTTGAAATTGTTAAACATAAAGCACTCTTAAAACTGCTAGACTTGACATTCTTTTAGGCCATGACATATAGAGTAGCTCACCACTCAACATCTAATGATTCAACCAAGTATCGACCTGTTGAGGAAATTGTGTTGTTCATCTTGTATTCCAAACATACTTAGAACAAAACTTTGAACATCTTTGTAAGAAAACAAAGTTTAAGAACATTTTCACAACTAGAAAATTAAAACTAGTAGTGAAACTAGAATCAGAATCAGATTTTAAAAAAATATATATATACGAAATATTTTTCTTAAAGAGGAATTGTTGTTAATATGTGTCTAAAGAATCTTACTGATTCCAACAAACTTTGCAGAAACACGAAGTTACAAAGTTTAATGAACCAGTGAAGAACAGAAGAATAGAAGAACTGAAATTAATTCACAAATCTAAAATTTGTAAAACACGTACCAGAATCTGAAAAATTTTAATAGGAAAAAGATCAAGTCCACTGAATTCACAGTCTCCCCTTAAGGAAATTATTCCCCTCTAGTATCCGAGGTTTGATTTGGAATATGACCTCCCAGGGTAAAATGATCTCAATCACCAGAGTATAGATACCAAAAACTCCGGTGTCAGCGAACCACTCAACGGCAGTAAAGTACACTTAGAATACTAAATTTAGTAGTTGAAGAAGAAGTCCATTAATTCTCTATTAAAATGAGAGGAAATCCCTAAATTTATAGAAGACAAAGGGTGGTGCGAAAAGGTTCTTATTGTGCCTTACCGGAAAAGTCACAATCTTTCAGAATGGTCGTCACCTTTCATAAAAGTCACAACTTTCCATAAAAGTCACAACTTTTCATAAAAATTGCAACTTTTCATGAAAGTCACCACTTTTCATCAAAGTCGCAACATTTCATAAAAGTCACAACTCTTCATAAAAGTCGCAACTCTTCATTTTCCATTCACACCTTTTTTAAAATCCAACAAATTGAATACTGGAAAACAGCACAAAGTCCAATATCAGATGTTGTTCTGCCAATATTGAACCTGTTTTCTGATGTCTCTGCGAAGTTCGGATTCATTTTTATCATTCCACCAGCCATTTCCTTGAAATATATTTGCTGAATTTTGATATTGTTTCCAGTTTTTTATTTTCTCAACGGGTCGATACTTGGTTGAATCATCAGATGTTCAGTGGTGAGCTACTCTCTATGTCATGGCCTAAAAGAATGTCAAGTCTAGCAGTTTTAAGAGTGATTTATGTTTAACAATTTCAACATTCAGTACTCCAGATTTTGCAACATTGTGTTGTAAACTTGAACACTGATATGAGTTTTTACCTCTACTTTTGTTCCTTAATTGCCATTTTGCGAGCTGCACGAATAGCACTATAAGTTGCCAAGGCATCGTTGCCATCTAAACGAATGCTTCTACCATCTCCAAAGGAAGTAACTGCGCAAGCCTTTTTTTTTCATTTTGAGGGAATAAGCAACGCCACGGCCTGAGGAAAATGGAATTCGGAGCAGAAAATTGTTTAGATGGAATATCCTGAATCTTTAGGGGAAATGCCATAAACTTTGAGATTCTTACGCTATTGGCTAAGAAACGGTTAAGTAATTGAGCTCATTCGAACCATGGTGGCAGGGCATTTGCCTTCCTTTCCCATAATCAAACAATTGATTGGCAACCTGTAAGCGCGCAATAATATGACTCCTACTTAATTCCCTGTACTGCAATGTACAACAACATGTTGAAATACATCATTTCACGGTTGTTGGATCATGAAACTATATTATCAAAATCTAGCAGAACAAACATAAGCAAAAAGACTTTGCGTTCAATGTTTTAATCTGCTAATGCCAAATGTGTTCTACTCGATCATCTCAAAGACAAAACAACTATATATTGAGCGGTTGTTGGTTAGAGTCATGTAATACATATATGGTGTGTTGAATTTGATAAATAGCGACAAAACAAATACTTCTAAAACATGATACTACAAGTCTTGACGCATGATTTGATACCTGAATAAATATAGCTTCTTCTCCAGTAGTAAACATTGTTCTTTCAATGATGAAAGTAAACCAACAAGTGTTATAGACGAAGAATGGAATTGGCTAAGTGGTTTTTTACTACCAATTTTAAGAGTTTGTTTATAATCCCATCATATTATATGAAGTAAAATTCCAATTCTTTTTCCCTAAGTTTTTATTTTTATATTTTCTTGATGCTCTACTCATCAAGAACTAGATGGAATTGAGACACTACAAAAGGAGACTACATTTATACATATAGACTAAAGTAAACTTTTTGAGAAAAAAAAAGAAAAAATCTCATAACCTAAGTGGTCATTCAAGTTTAGGAAATTGTCTTGAAATATCATTTATGTTTCATTTAAGATTAAAATATACTCAACTATCACTATTTTTTTCCAAAACTATTTGTCACTTCAAAAACCTCACTCTCCCCTATATGGCAATTGGCATGCATGACATGTCATTAAAGTCTTTTTTTAATACTAAACTAATTTGTATACCGGATGAGTAATTCTATACCTAAAATGATTAATTATATACCGAATCGATGACAAAAAATGGGATATTTGTTGCAAATTACAAATAAAATAAACTATGATTATAGCATTTGATTTGAATTAATAGTTTGCTATTTCATACAATTTTCCCAAAAAAATATTTATTGAATTTTGTTTGGTAAAAAAATATGAAGGAATTATTTTTTTTAATTTTTATTGGGATAATGCATAAGTACCTCCTCAACCTATGCCCGAAATCTCAGAAACACATTTATACTGTACTAAGGTCCTATTACCCTGAACTTATTTTATTAATAATTTTATACCCCTTTTCGGCCTACGTGGCACTATCTTGTGGGCCCAACGCTGGTTGACTTTTTATTCAAGATAGTGCCACGTAGGCCGAAAAGGGGTAGAAAATTACTTATATAATAAGTTCAGGGGGTAATAGAACCTTAGTATAGTATAAGTGTGTCTCTGGGATTTCAGACATAAGTTGAGGGGGTACTTGTGCATTTTTCCTTTTTTTTATAATCTTCATAAATTTTCATGTAATTTATATATTTGTTTTGTACAGATATAAGTTTGATGAATTAAATAGGTCTATTATTTTTTAAATTATAATTTAATAACATGACATATTAATTGGAATAGAAGGAGACTTTTGAAATATTTAGTATTTATTAGTTTTGGATAACAATAGTAATAAAATTATTCACTTTCTATTTTTTTTTCCATGAAAATGTTATTGTAAACATGAATTTCAAAATACACAATTAATTTTATTGCAATCAGTAGTTAATTGGCATTTAATATTATTGATTCATTAAAAAATATAAGGAAAACAATTAAAAATGTCCTTAACGTATTTCAAATGGTTCAAAAATGTCATCCTTCCGCCTTTTGATTTAAAAATGCCCTCAACGTTTATTTAATGTTTAAAATTGCCTTTTCAAAAGCCGATTGACATGGATTTCTTTACCCATTTCAAAATATATGACCCACTTAGTCTAAAAACCCATTTCAAAAAATTTGACCCAGATCATTTTTTGGATCTTTGTTTCCATTAACTCTAGCTCTCTTCTTTCTTCTCCCTCAATTCATATGTCCTCCATTCTCTAGTTAATTCCACGAAGAAAAAGATGAAAGAAATCAAGATTTGTCAAGTTGATGTTTTTGTACATGGTTGCACTACAAACCTAAACGCCGACACAACATTAAGCAACCACAACATCATAAAGACAAACAAAAAATTCAGTTGCAAGATTGTGTACCTTCTTAATTTTGATGTTCAGCCTATCATCAGTTCCGATTGCAAGAACGACATTCACAACCTTTGATGACAGAGTTGTAGCAGCAGACTTTTCTTCTCTTCCAAACTTTTTCTCCCTATGCCAGTTCTTTTACCTTATCGATTGCTTACATAATCAATACCAAATTACTCAATAAACATGATGACTAACCATATGCAACCTATTGTTCGATTATAGCCAAAAGGAGCAAGACAAAGAGGAACAAGCAACCAGGAGGAGCAAAAATGGTTTGTGTAAATGGGTTTGAATTTTCATAGCATAGATGGGTCGTATCATTGGGCTGGATTTAAAAAAGATATTTGTCTAATTTAACGAGTCATTATTTGCCATGTCACTTGGCTGTTAAAAAAGGGCAATTTTAAATCTTAAAAAACGTTAAGGGTATTTTTAAAACAAAAGGTAGAAGATGGACATTTTTAAAATACTTTAAGGACATTTTTAACCCTTTTCCCTAAAATATATAATTAATTAATGTAAGTTAGCATTAATGAGTGATTTGAATATTTGATATTTCTTACTGAATGCGTATGTTTATAAGTATTCAAAGTTTATGATATTGTAATACTTTTTTTAAAAACCTATTCTTCCTAACATAAAACAATAAAAAGTTTAATTATAATAAAAAAATCTAACATATAAAGATTTATTCTTAGTGAACTAATATAGCTATATATAACATATTAAAAATATAATTATTATTTTAGATAAATATGTTTAATGAATTAAATTATCTATTAAAAATAGATTTTAATGACATGTCATGTCAACTAGGAGATCAGAGAGTGAGACTTTTGAAGTGTCAAGTATATTTGAAAAAAAATAATGATAATTGAGTGATATTTAAGTCTTAAATGAAACATATAATGATATTTCAATACAATTCACTAAACTTGGTGACCACTTAGGGAATTGACTCCCTTTTTTGAATCATTGTACAAGTTTTTCCAGAAAAAAAAAGGAAATAAAATATTTTTTCAGATTTTAAATTTTAGTGTATATCTTTACTTGTCTACTATATTAAAAATGGAAAATGGCCTAAAATAGCCTCGAAGTATTGAAAATGGTACAAAACTCTCCTCCATCCACCTATTGGGTTCAAAATATCTTTTTCATCCACATATTAGCTCCAAAATACCCTTGTCATTCACCTTTTGAGTTCAAAATTGACCACTTATTATTTCAAATTTAAACTATTTAAATATTTTTTAAAAAATACTTAACGCTCAACTATTGGATATAATTTAATTCATTAATATTACTTATAAACCAACCCACTACCCACCCATTACAATTACGCCCCACCCAATTAACAAACCATTTTTAACATCAAAATCACCCTAAACACTACCAAAGCACGACGAAATTATAGATTCTTGAAAATGACACCAAAATTATTGAGTCCGAATTGAAGCCCCAATTAAATTTAAGTTGAGCCACTTATTTAGGAGGACACTATCAATATGATTTTGTTTCAAGCTTGAATTCGAGATTTATGATTAAAGGTAAAGAAGTAGCACCTCTCGAATTAATTTATGCACTTTTAAATATAATTTTATAAATATTTATTATTTGTTTTAAATATTAAAACTTTAATATATTCTTTTTTTAAAAAGTTATCAATTAAGTAACATCACATAATTGAGGCGAATGAATAATTAAGATGAATATAGTCAAACTTTTAAGTTTGTCGGTAATTTTTATTTAGACACTTGAACTATAATTTTGATTAAGGACTTAATTGTATGATAATGTACTTCTATAGACATTTTCGCCTCAAATTTTTAGAAACATTCATTGTAGTAGCTTTCTTGTTGTGCATTAGTAATGGAGCGGATTTATTAATTAGGTGTGGTTTAATTAGTAATGTGTGGGCAGTAATTGGTTAATAAATTATATTTCGTAAGTTAAATTATAACAAATAGTTGAGTGTCGTGTATTAAAAGAATATTTAAATAGTTTAAATTTGAAACCGTTAAATAAGTGGTCAATTTTGAACGCAAAGATGGATGACAAGTGTATTTCGAAGTCAATAGATGAGTGAAAAGGATATTTTAGAGCCAATAGGTGGACGAAGAATGTTAAAACTTAGTGAACAAAACTTGAACGAATTAAAATATGACCCATCATTTTAGCTCACGTTGTTATCCTATCAATCTAATAATAACTTTTAAACAGAAGTAGGCAAAAATTCATTTATTAATTTTGTTGAAATTATTATTGAATCGTTCATAGAAGGTGTTAGATAGAGCCTATAAACTCATCAAATATTCATTTATATTATATTCTTGGGACCTAACCCATATAAACACATTTATTGCAAGTATTTTAAAAATATACATTATTATTTTTTCTTGGATAAATGCCAAACCTCTTTTCAAACATCTCTAACTGAAACACGTATTGGTGATTAGTGAGTCACTTTTGTCCAAAACGTCTAAAACCAAACTTTCTTGAATTATTATTATTATTATTATTTTACAATTAGAATAAACTTTTAATTTAGAATCTATTAAAAGTCCTGAGATCAAAGGTTCAAATTCTCTAGTCAAAACTAATACTACTAGGTAACTTCCAATCATCTTCCCATTTTATTGGATGTATAATTTAAAATTAATCAAAGTGTACATAAATTGAACTAAATACTATGATTATAAAAAATAAATATGATTTTTTTTGGTAAATTGGGAATTTCAAAAGTTATTTCGATCGATCACATGTTCAAATTCCAAATATCACGTTTTAATAGTAGTTCTTTTTTTCGATATAAAAATTTATGATTCTATCGCTAAAAGAAGTTATCAAAAGTAAATATTAGAAAACGTTACATGATTTTCATCTTCTTCATAGTCGATTATATCTAGTTGTATTAGAGTTTTAGATTGATTTCTTACCTTTTATTTTTTCCTAAAAGAAAAGACAAAACTTACCACAAATATTTTTACTTTTTCTAAAAGGAAAGTACAGTATTCTTCCATACTTGAGTTATTCTTTCTTCGAAAGAAAAGTTTGAAAATCTATAAATTTAAAGATTCCTTTTCTCACAGCATAACACAATAGTATCCACAATGTAATCATTAAAGAGTTTAGTTTTTGGAGAGATTTATTTTATCAATAGTTTTAATATTTTTTCTTTATTTTAGTTTTCATAGGTAGGCCAATTGACCAATCCATATTAATAATATTATGTTTTAATATAACTTTATTTGTCTTCTAATTTATCAATTATATGATTTGTAAAATATAAGTTTCCGCATGACGCACTAACCATTTTCATAACCCACAGGTTGCTCTCCATCTTTACCAGACTGGTAACGTTTCGGCCAAAAATTAGTGGCAGATTCACCAGAAAACTCCCCATTGGCTTTATTAAACATCAACACCGACGACAATAAAAGTTGTAAATGATGATAAGAAACGAACCCTTGTGTTTAGAATAAAATGGTTAAATTTTGTTGATTTTAAAATCAAATTTGTTATTGATAATAATTTTCTTTGAACAAAAATGGTTTAATAGTGCATTTTTAAATTTTATGATTGTCACGATCACGACCGTCGTGATTGGTATTCACACAAACTCTCCGGTGGGAGAACCACTACTACGATCCAAATCAAGTAGCTAAATCAAAACTAAGACATTTAAGTTACGGAAGCAAGTCAAATACTAAGAAAATAAATAGAGTTCCCATCAACTATAACGAAAGTCTATCAACTAAAACAAAATGTTGAAGAATTAACCTAGAACCTGAAAGTCAATCCACCAAAATATCTAAACAATAAACCAAAGTCTAAAAGGAAAATGAGTATAACTATACCAATATAAAAAGCATAAGTTGGGCATGTGGAGATCGTTCGTGCTGGGGATTATTTGATTTTATGATAGTGCATTGAGATCGTCCGCACAGACACGTGGAGTCGTCCGTGTCGGTATATGGACCTCGCGAGTCCCCTATGGATCATGAACTCTCAATGTATTTCCGAGGAGTATCGTGTATATATGGTTGAGAGAGTACTTGGAATCTGAGGTATATTATTTCATGGTGTCACATTGCATAGCATCTCTTTATATCCTTCATTTTTGTTGATTATAATTTTTATTGATGGTTGAAAAGTACGTGATATTTGATTTCTTGTACTTGATGGAACTTGACTACTAAATATAATATAGACTTGTATACATAAGGAACTGATTTTCTTACATAAACTTCTGTCACTACTTTTTCATTTTCCGTCAATGAGATATACTGGGTACACGTGATTTCGTAATACTCATACTACAATTGCTTCACTCTTTTGTGGTGCAGATTGAATTTAAATTCGGGCACGTTCTCGGAGCTTGAATATGAGTTTGAATTATCTTGGAGTTGTGGTGCGCTGCTTGGATTATCTTGTGCTTATGACACTAAATCTTGAGGGTGGTATTTCTAATTTCCGCATTTATTTTGAATACTTAGTATGCTAGTATTAGTTAATATTATATTTTCACGTTTAAGTTGGATGGTGAAATTTATTGAGTTGGCTTACTAATCGATTGAAAATATAGGTGCCATCACGACTCGTGATTTTAGGTCGTGACAGTTGCCCAGTCTTATGCAAGTCTGCAATCTCTTTCTCTGATCCTTTTATTTTTTTTGTACTTTAACCTTCATTTTTAATTATTTTCTCAGAAACAAATTTGAAATGGCAGCAGAAAAACATTAATTAAAGAAAAAAAATCAAATTGAGTTAAAAATAAATTCGGCGAAACTTCATTTTGCCAAACAAGACTAATATGAATCTGAAACTAATTTCTTTTAAATCACTAAAAAAATCAAATTCTAAAGAACCCACAACAGTGAAAAAGAAAAAATACCAACAAATCTTGATTGTTATTCGGAAAAAAATGAGATTGAGAAAAATGAATTATTAACTATTGAATATTAAACTTGTTGTAAATTATCAATATATATTATTTACAAAATAATAATGCATGCTAATAAAATGTGGTTTATATTGAATAATATATAATGCTAATATTTAATTAGCATATGTGCCGTTAAAAAATATACAATCAATTTCTAATATTAAAAAAATATTTATGTTTGCAAAATCAATCAAAACGGTAAGTATATTAAAAAAAAATGAAAATAATCTATATATATAAGAAATAAAAACAACACATGTTGATAAGAAACAATAAAATTTCCAATTAAAAAAATAAAACAAATAAAAATGGTCTAAATATAAAAAAGAAATAAAAACAACAAATTTATATATAGGAAAACAATAAATT